AGACACACAAGATGGACGCCACAATCCTCTCACACTCCCCATACATACTCTATACCCCCCAGGTCCAGGATATGCACCTACCCCCAGCAGAGGGCAGCTCACACCTGAACCCAGGAGGTAGGCCCCTTCAGTCTGGGGTGGAGAAGAGCAGACAGCCAAGTCCCAGCCCGGGCCGCACCAGTCCGATCAACCAGCACCCCGCCCCAGCAAAGCCACACCCCGGACCACCCCCACACCCTACCAACAGCCAGGCGCCCACCCCCAACCGACCACCCCCCAGACTCCGGCAGCCAGCAGGCCAACCACAGCAACCAGGAGCCAGACACCGGGGCCCGAACAGCCCCAGGGAAGCCGGAGCGCCAGCCCCGCCTCCAGAACTCATTCACTTATTCTGTTAAAGATCTGATTTTACGATAAAACAAAATACTGTTCTAAATTTTTTAATTCTGATCCATCAAATGAACATTGATGAAACATGAGAAAACAACAATAGTGGTAAATTTGTTCAGCTTTAAAGTTTGAGAGTGTGATTAAAAAGTGTGCATCTCATTTGTTACCTTTAAATTTCCAAAGCTTATACAGTATTTGTTGAATTGAATGAATTATTTTGGACCTAAATGAGAGTAAAACAGTTCTAGTGTAGATGATGAGAAACTTCAAATAAGGGTCTCCAAATAGAGACACTGATTATAACATAAATGAATCAAAACAATGAATTGTACGTCTAATCATAAGTAATGTGCTATAAAAAGTTCTTCAACTCACTGGCCAATTTGGCAAATATTCAAACCTTGTGTTCTTACTATCAAAATATTAAAATACACAATATTAGCTATAAATTGGAGTAGTGTATTCAGTACTTACAGAGGCCTGCAGATCATCTGTTTTCCCAATAAGATCATCTAATCTGTCACCTCTCTCCAAGACTTTGTTGATGTTGTCTTTCAGGATAACTTTAACCTCGTTCACCTGACTCTGGACCTGGTCAAGCTTACCAGAGGAGCCCGAGGTGGGCTGCTGGGGGTTTGGGTCAGCCTTTAGGAAACAAGAGAGATCTTGTTATTGTTATCGTTGTACCATTGCATTAGCAGGAAAAACACAAGTTCAAAACTCTTCATATACATCAGTCAACAATTATTGTACTCCAAGCATTCCCACTTGCTTCAGATGTTATCATCCATGAAATAGATGTTATTAGGCGTTATCAGTCCCATAGAATGGCTTCAGAATGTCCCACCTGTGCCAGTTAGCAGGTTCCCCGTCCCATAGAATGGCTTCTGATTGTCAGCTGGTTAATATGAGACATAAAACCACTATCTGGTTAATATGAGACATAAAACCACTATCTGGTTAATATGAGGTACAGTATTTAAAAAAACTGGTTAATATGAGGCTTAAAGCCACTAAAGTTAACTTTGGAGCAAATGACATGGTTAGCACTAAAGACATCGCCCTCCAACAGATGAATATTGTGGCCTTCCAGTAGGGCAATGGGTAGAGTGCTGGGCCAGAGAGTGGGAGACCAGGGCTCGACATGGACACAAAAAAATTATTACATCTTTTGGTTATTTACACATTCATTGTCATTGATATATTAAACCACTAGGAGGCACTGTCGGGACAGTCTGAAGCCTAGAAGGCACAGTAGGGACCCTCTGAAGCCATTGAATGGGACTGATAATGCTTAATAACGTCCATTTCATGGACTGATAACATCAGAATCCCCTAGCATTCCTTCATCATATGAATATTGTGAACACTGATATTGCGATGACAATATATTTATGACTTGTTGTGCAGCCCTATTACATATGCACATATCAAACACATTTAGAATTATCTGACATCCTGGACAGAAGGCATCTTCAGGTTATTTCCAATAATCCATCTGTTACAACCGGACTTCAACCAATCACCTTTATTTAACCAGGTAGAGCCCGTTGAGATGGAGATCTCTTTTACAAGCTGACCTGGTCAGGTGGTCATCAGCACACGTCACATAGTAAGTGAAAAACATTTACATTAATCAAAACAAAATAAGAAAAATAAAGAAAACTACAATCACGATAAGTAGATGTTGACAGTTCAGAAACATCTGGATTAGAAATAATTCTAGAAGTATTTAAAATATTTGGAAGACCTGAAAATAAATGTAGGTGAAAAAATAAGTCAGTGAATAAAAACAGACATGGTTTGAGTAGATGCAGTTAAAAAATGACAGTGACATGTGTAATGGATAGGTAATGTTTAGAAACATCTGCAACAGTCAAGTTTCCTGATGACGTCATCTGTTACAGCTGACCTGAAGGATGGAGGAGGGATGAGTGTTGACAGTTTCACATCTGTCTGTAAGTTGTTCCAGGCTGAGGGGCTGTGAAGCTCAATGCTCTTTTTCAATCCTAGTTCAGTTCTGACTGGAGGCACTGGTAGGAGGACTAGATGGTTGGAGCACAGCCACTAATGACTGTCATGTTTGTATTAAGGAGGTAAGGTATAACAGGACTAGGTTTAGCAGGGTCTTGTAGATGATGGATATCCTGTGGGTGTATCTGCAGGCGTTGAGATGTCCAGACAGATGTGATGTAAAGGTCACAGTGATGAGTCTGATAAGTGGAGACAGTAATGAAGAGCACTATGGTAAATGGAGTCTAAGGACTGGAGGTATTTTGATGCAGCACTCATGTAGAGCACGTCACCATAATCTGATATCGGCATGAATGTAGCAGCTACTAATATTGTCCTTGCTTTGCATGTGAAGCAGGATTTGTTTCTGAAGAAGCCTAGCTTCAGTTTGAGTTTAGAGGCCATGTTGAAGATGTGTGTTTTAAAAGACAGGACTTAACCAGGAAAAGGGGAGTCAACTTTAAAATTCAGATGTAAATATAGGTTTATGAATAAAAAGTGATTTATTGTATGCAGTTGTAAAATTAAAGACAAAATTGAACAAGAAGGACTGCCAAAAGTACAATTTTTTACAATTTGAGTTTTAAACTTCTAACAAAACAAACAACAAAATAAAAGATAAGTCCAACAACCAAGGTTGAGCAGTGCTTGTACAAAGTTTAAGAAAATAACATTACTCTACCAAGAGAACAAACTAAAACTGGATGAAAATTAAATGAGATAAACCCTTTTAAACAAAACAAGGTGGCAAAGAGCCTTAAAAAACTGCACAAAGACATGATCTTCTGAGTCTCCTTTAAAGCTTACACAATAGATTTAATCAACACACATATACAGACCTTATAAACCAAACTCTTGGTCACAGAAACAGCAGAATCAAAGAAAGCCAAGGCCAACCACAAAACAACACCCTAACCAAAAGGCATGTTGCTAATGACAGCCACCATGATTGTCAGAAGAACTGGGGTCTCATTTATAAAGGATTGCATGGCAACCATACAAAAATCCAACGTACGGCCAAAAGGTAAAAATAGCGTACACCAAAATAAATCTGAATTCATAAAACCATGCGCATGCATGTTTCTGTGCACCTTTCCTTTATAGATCACAGCTGCACCTCAGAGTTTGTGCACGAGGTCCTCCTCAGGTTCTACCCTCCACTCGCCCACACTCAACCATAAACAGTCAATGTTGTTATTTATTTAAGAACAGACAGTGCTTATAACAGAACATGCCAGTACATCAATGCAAAGCACCTCATGAATGTTAAAGTGTATTTAAACTAGATACCTCATAGCAGTAACATAATGACCCCCGCATGCATAAATGCACCAGAACTCAGAAGTCTTTATTCCTAATAAATGTCATGATACTAGGTGCATCCCAAAACTGTAGTGGTTTGGATGGGGGTCCTTTTTGGGTGGGGGGTGGGGGGGAGATTGGCAGGCCTGATGGGCCTTCATCAGAGCTAAACAACAACAACAAAAAAAGAAAATCTGAAGCTCCTATGTTTAATAGTTTTTGAGCTATAACCATTTTTGTGTGTCCAGAGACCCCTTTTTCAGATAAATTGGGGGTCCGGGGGGTGGGGGGCACTGATTGGTGGGCCTGATGGATAGAGCTTCATCAGAGCTAAACAACAAAAGAAATCTGAAGCTTCTATGTTGAACAGTTTCTGAGTTATAACCATTTTTGCATGTCCAGACTCCCCCTCTTTGAAAGGAGCCCCCTCCTCAAATATGGGGTCTATCGTAAAACCGTTGGCTGGAGCAGTGTAGGTCAGACTCATCTACAGTCCTGACTCATTTCATGTTGACTGGTGCAGCTGTTTGTGTGCTACGGTTGACCAAAAACCTCTGAAAAAATAGTATGAAAACATCATGACTCCTGCTTACGGTTCGTGTGCGGAGGTCATAATCAGTCAGCTGATCAATGTCAAAAAAATCTATTGGTCGGTTCAGACATGTGCTCTGTCCCGTGTCTGGAGGATGACAGGTGCTGACAACCGCTCACATGAACAGATGGTCTGTAATTTACACCGATTTTCCCTCAGTTTGCAGGTTAACAGACTTTTAAAGCAATCTATTTTTTAACTCAGCTTCAAATAAATTTTCTCTCAGAGCCTGCAGGATGATTAAAACAATAAATAAAATTAAATAAGTCAGATAAAGTTAGAAATAAGTTCACCTCTCTTCTCCCACGCCCTCCCCCTCCTGCCTGCTCTGTTATCAGCAGCTGATCGTCTCCTCACCTCCTCAGACATCCTCACAGCCCCACGTTCACGAGTAACACTGACTTTACAAAGTGAATCTTTTACAACACATCCACACTGGTGAGGGCACGCACCCAAAGTGTGGCCACAAGTTTTTTACTGTTGTGCTCCTGAAATTCCTCTTGTTGGGGAGGGGTCTGTGGGTCAGGGAGGGGTCTGTGGGTCAGGGAGGGGTCTGTGGGTCAGGGAGGGTCTGTGGGTCAGGGAGGGGTCTGTGGGTCAGGGTGGGGTCTGTGGGTCAGGGAGGGGTCTGTGGGTCAGGGTCGTCTGAGGAGGAAGCCGGTGAAGGGAGTTGCGCACGGGAACTTTGATTTAAGATCTAAGTATTTTTTTTATTTCAAAGGTCCTCATGGCTCAGCAGCAGAAGCATAAAAATTACTGTTAACAATTGTTTTTATTGGTCTTCAGTAATATTCTAATTTTCTGATATGCTGAATTTGAGATTTTCATTTGTTGTCATTTGTAA